TTCATCCTTTTTTTTTTTTTTTTTCTTTTTTTTTACACGGTTGACCACCGTGTAACGTGGTTAAGAACCACGTATTCCGTCTCTTGTGTAACTGGGTGCAAAAATCTGCCAGCCATATTTTCCGTATATTTTTCGTCTACTCACTCCCTATATTGTATCCTCTTTCGCTGTAATCCAATAGAAACTGTTCATACGTCATCATGCGAATATACAGCGCATGATATATTTTTTCCTACGTTTTTTTGTTAATTAATATAACATACATTTTGTTATATTCTCGTAGCGGTTTCTTGTTCGCTATTTCTTTTTTTTCATGTAACGTACTCGAAAGATGATCACTCGCGCGAAATTTTTCCCTGATATTCAGTGAATATTCGCGTTATTAAGCGTACGTATTCAAGCTGTGGTGAACGAAAGATTTATTTTCACGCTCCGTGAACCAAGTACGATGACGTATTTCCCGTGATACACGTAGACACGTGGCGCATTGTCTTGACAAGGATGCGGTCTAACCGCGAACATCGGTGATATTACCGCCTCCCGACTCGATCCCAACAAACCTAACGCGCTAACGATCTAAAATTTCCCCTATATTCCCTATATACCCGTTTTCTCGAATTACCCAATTAAAATAAAGCATTTGTACATTAGAGAGAGCGTGTCGGGAGAAGTGGGTCGCGTCCCCTCGTTTCCTTTTCCGAAAAGAAAACGTAAAATGGAGAGTGCGAAATACACGGTCGCCGATAAACATTAAACGTTTCGAAAAAAAAAAAAAGAAAATAAGGAGAAAGGGGAATGGAACACGGCTACAAAACGTAATCGAAAATCCTTTACGACGATTCGTCGTGCTATCAGACCAGTTCCAGATATCGAGAGAGAAAGAAAAAGGACGAGGATTTTCTCTTTCTCTCTCTCTCGCTCCCCTATTCCACAGGACCTCGTCGAGAAAACGTTTCCAGGATATAACCTGCGTATATACAGAGACGAACGGGCACGTTCGATCGTTAACAGCCGACTAATGGAATGGAATTCGCATCGAGATCGTCGCTTCCATCTCTGGATCTTCTTCTCTACCCTCGCGATGAGGGTAGAGCGAGAGGATTGCTCTTTTCTTTCTTTCTCTTCCTTTTTTCTTTCTTTCTTTCTTTCTTTCTCTCTCTTTCTTCTCGCCACCCGAGAAATCGTAAAATCGGCACCGACGCTCGCGTTGTTTTCCTCCTGCAATCTCTGGTCCGCTGGACTTAATTCGACTTCTCCTCTTTTTTCTCTCTCTCTCGGTCTTTTTCTCGCCTTCGTTCCATCGGTTTTTACCCCTCCACGGTTTTCATCCCTCGTTCGCTAGGTATTTTCTCCTGCAATTTTATCCCCTGTTTCTTCCTTTTTCCACACGTTGGGAAAAGGTCCCTCGTACGACAGTGTTTTCACGTTTCGCGATAAGAAGAGCGTTAGAGTGCGTGGGATCTAATAATACCGTTTTGGGATCGAGATATCGACGGTCACGTAGATCGTCCCCCCGTATCTTTCTCGATATTGTCTCGGCGTTTCGGGCGAAGGTTTTAACATTAAGCCAGTGATTTCGCTCACGCGAATTCTCCAAGAGGAGAGAATTGGTCACAGGGAATTAATAATAAAACCATCTTCTGGATTCGTGCGTTTAGCGTTTATTTAATCCAAATCGATCGTGATTGAAATCTTGGTTCGATCGATAAGCACGAGTTTTGGAAATAATCTCATATATATTGTCGGTATCGATACAGAAAATTTCTGTTCCGGTGATCGATAGCGTTTAGATCAAAGGGCAAGGAATAGTTACATTCCTTTCCTTGCACGGATGTGAAAGAATGTTTAAGATGGATCGGATTTAGAAATGTATTCACTCTTATAAATTAGTGATAATTTTTCAACAACTTTTTTCACCAAAATTCTAATTATTCAGAAATGACAATTACTTTCAATGTCCAACAATTTTCAAGAACTCCTCGAAATATCTCGAATGTTATTCAAAAATCAAATTGTCGCATCTCCGTTTAATTAATCTCGTGTCGTCGATCGGATATTCGCGGGGGTTTTCCTTGGAACGGATGCTTGGACGATGCTCGCCACCGCTTAGACAGGACGAAAAACAAAGAGGGAGGCAGGGAACGTTTTAGAGTACTACCAAAGAGTTTTCTCTTCTGCGGACGTTCCAAGAGCCGCTTCTAATTATTCTTCTCTCGAGACACCCGCAGC